AGTTTACACTAAAAGTGTATTGGATATTCATGACAATTTTAAAGTTTAAAACTTATTGTGTTTAAGATGTATTTTCTGCAGTTGTTGTTTTCAACAATGGTTTTAAAATCCCAGTTTGTTTCAATGTAAATTTTGCAGAATGTATGCGAACAGTGACAATAGGCAAAACAAAAGTTGATTGTCTCACAAATGGTTCTATTATTCTTGTCACAGAAAGCCAACTGTATTTTATATCAATTAGACTCTTTGACATCTGTATATAAGGTCTACTCATCAAGGCAAATCTATACCCGTCATTAGTAAAAACAATAAATAAATAACACTGTAATATCATTATAACTTACAGTTCTTATAAATTTAGCGATAACATAAATATAAAAATAATAAAACTTTTATTTACAGTGTAATATATTGTATTAATAATATGTTGTAAACACCCCCAAACATTGTTGCAACTGTCCCCGGCCCCGGGGTCAGTTGCAGCCTCTAACTTTTCATTTTCAAATGCAAATGGTGAAGAATGTACATGCTTTAATCATCTATGAATGGTTTTGACTATCAACAGACAGATGTAAGTTTATTGTATTAAAACTTGGTTTGTCTAATTCAAACCATCTCTGAGTAACWGAGTCAAATGAAAAAAGTGTTACGACTGTCCCCGGTCTCCTCTATTTATAAAATATAAGGAAGAGTTGGGTGTGATGGATTAAATACACAGGACAATTAAAAATCCTGCAGCCCATTTTAAATTGATTTTATTTACAGGRAAGACTTCCATTTTTGTTTGAATACCTTAAAAATGGTTTTGTACTGGATTGCACACAGGCAAGTTAGGCCGTAAGTTGGTGTCGTTACTGGGAATATCGCTGAAGTCTCATTGAGTGGAATGAAAATCGTCAAGGAAAAGCTCTGTAACAGTAGCTGTGCTGTGTGTGTCGCTGCACCTGATAGGTGTCCCACAGCCGGATGGTGCACCGTAGCGGCAGCTCCCTCATCAGGAGGTTGTTCATCCAGCGGAAGGCAAACTGCAGGTACTCCACCTCATAATGCTGCATGTGGCGATGCACAGACTCTGCCAAAAAGAACAAAAAAAGTCATATTTTAAAAGATGAACAACCATAACACAAAGAGACATCGGTTTGATGAGTTTATTTGATTTTTTTATAATGAGGGGAGAAAAGCTCGTTATCACAACAGTGACAGCAACAAGAGCCAGACAGATTCYTTCCTTTCTCCATTACTGGCTGCTGTCATCAGTGTCACACGCAAAGCTGTTTCCTAATAATTGAAATGTAATTACAGAGCTATCCAAATTGTCTCAGAAAAGCCTCATATTCAGCCAGGATGAGAAATGGAAGTGGAATCGTACCAACACTCAAGAGAAATTGCATGTCGCTCCGGTGAAGCCTGGAGTGCATATAAAGTAGGTCAATGGCATCCAGAGGTGAGGACAGAGTCATGTTTATATGAAATGTATGGAGAGCACGTTAATTACTTCTTTGACACCAGCGCCCTCACTGGTATCTGATAAAAATTGTGTTGTGGAGGCCTCTAACCTGTCGTACAAAGCAAGTCTGTCAGAAACCAACGACTGTGACGCTGACAACAAATGAAATAAATAAACCTCAAATCAAATCTGTTTTTATCAGGGCACCTCGTCCTTTTTTAAGGATTGTTTTTCATTTGAGCTTTGTATTTTTTTATAATAAGAACAGAAACAGTCAAGTAGAAAACAAAGATGCAAAAGAAATTCATATCACCCGTCGGCTTTCATGCCAAAATACACTGCCTGGCCCAAAAAAATAATAATAATAAGTCACACTAATATTTTCTTGAACCACATTTAGCTTTGATTTTGGCACACATTCACTGTGGCATTGTTTATATAAGCTTCCTAGACCAACTRCTGCAACCCCTGATCACAGCACTGCCCCCACAGGCTTGTACAGTAGGCACTATACCCGTGTTTCCATCCAATTTTAATTCGAATTTTGAGCGAATTTTAATAATTTCGCAAAAAGGAAAAAAATAAACGCGAATCAGACAGAGTTTCCCTCAACTGGTTTGAAGCAAATCAATTACGTCATACACATGTGCGTAGTAAACAGGAAGTAACCATCGCTAAACTCGCAGGTCCACACATCTCAGGATAATGTTATCAGGAACGCGTTGCTACTATCAGGAAAGTTGTAAATATTCTGTTATCAACTGGTTTTGGCGAAACTGGAGACGTAGAGAACGAAATGCAATTTTCTTCACGTTACAGGACTACTGAGAAGACGCAAACAGTGGGAGGAGGGTCCTGCTGCCAGTCGCGGCTGCAGCTGACCCGAAACTGGAACAAGTGATCAGCTACGTGAGGTAAATGTTCGCTACGTCACAACTTATTCGGCAAAAGTGTTTCCATCTGTCCTTTTGCGCATTGTGTTTTTCAAAAAACCCTAAAACCACCTCAAGCGAGCGTATCAGCTTTTATGCGAATCAGAGGAAGTTTTTTCGAGTCAAGCCATTTCCATTCACCTTTTCTGATGCGATACTCCAAAATGCGCATCAAGAAACGTTGATGGAAACACGACTTATGATGGCTACATCCTCAAAGGTGGTGGGTCCCCACTAGGCATGGGCCGAATACTGGTTTAAAGGTACAGCAGGTAAAATAAGTATTGAACACGTCACCATTTTTCTCAGTAAATATA